GCGTGATAGGTTCTTGGTTGGTTCGTTCCCAGAGCTCCTTGTTGCTTATTCTTTCTGGCCATCTGATCTTCAGTAGCGAGCGTAAGCAGTTGTTGATGAATGTCTGCAGTTTATTGGAAATGCCTTTCGTGACGCGCCAAGTCTCTGAGCCATACACGAGCACTGACTTGACGTTGGTGTTGAAAATCCGTATCTTGTTCCGCATGCTGAGTGCAGAAGATCTCCACACTGGTTTCAGGCTAATGAACGCCTGTCTTGCTTTTCCGATTCTGACTTTGACGTCCTCGTCCGTCCCGCCTGTAGTTGAAACAGTGCTTCCTTCAAGTTTCTCCCGTTGACGGTGACTGGAGTTTGTTGTTGTTGTTGATGGTGGTGGTGCGGTATCTTCATCACTTCTGTCTTCTCTATATTCACCTGAAGTCCCGTCTTCGCTGCCTCTTCTATCAACTTGTTAGTTTTTGCCTGCAGATCTTCAAGTTTATGTGACATTAGGCATAAGTCATCGGCGAAATCCAAGTCTTCTAGGTTCTTTTCCGCAGTCCAGCGTATCCCCCTCTTCTCGCTGCCTACTGTTTGCTGCATGATCCAGTCCACCACAATAAGGAATATCATGGGGGATAGTGGGCAACCTTGTTTCACTCCTGTCTTCACTTCAAAAGCATCACTGAGCTTCCCATTGTGAATTACTTGGCATGTGGCATCTTCATATAGTTGTTGAATGAGGCGGATAAAGGTTTGCGGTACTCCGTAGTATTGAAGCAGTTTCCAAATTACTTCTCGGTCGACGTTGTCAAAGGCCTTCTCAAAGTCGATGAAGTTGAGGTAGAGAGCTGATTGCCATTCTATGCTCTGTTGTATGATGATGCGCAGCGTTGCAATTTGGTCTGCACATGATTTGTACTTCCTGAAGCCTGCCTGTTCCGGTCGCAGTTTTGAATCCAGTGCATCTTTAAGCCTCTCCAGATGATGCGGCTTAATATTTTACTTGGGGTGGACAGGAGAGTGATTCCGCGCCAGTTCTTGCAAGCACTCAGGTCTCCTTTCTTCGGCAGTTTGACAAGGTAACCCTTCTTCCAATCGTCAGGTACCTTCTCTTCCTTCCACACCTTCTGATGTCATCATCTGCTCTATTATTATTGTCATCACCATATAGTGTTTAGTTTTCTTCACGGGATATAATTTTTTCAAATATATATATATATATATATATATATATATATATATATATATATATATACGATTGTACAGCTTGAAAATAAATTCGTTGAAAAGAGTCTCTTCACTGAATAGCTTGTTCTTGATGTTACAATGGGAATTATTAAATTATGGAAATATTACTGCCCTGTTTAGTATATTCAGTTCATTCACACAATAAATGACGCAACTGTGTAATCCAAAGCATTTGCATCAGGACAAAAAGTCTGGTGAATATTGTCAGTTTTATTTGACTATCTCATTCATCTATATGTAACTAAATCACTTTGCAGAAATTTATAAAATTGACTTCAAGTACAGAATCTGAAAGTCTGTAAAAATCGGCTTCACTCAACATGCAGTTATTTCAGAAATATGCGTCTTCATACATCTTAAGTATTTACGACAGTATGTAGGAACAGTCATGAGGGCATACTGAAGTTAGGCGAAGCGTTGACCATTCATAAACTGAAGCCCTCCTCATGTGTACAAAAGCAATTTGTTGTTTCATTTAATTTACTTTGGTTATCATTATCCGACGACATTACCAAAACTAGGGTCACAATACTTTTTCATAGTCATTATATCTGACTTCAATTTTCATGTATAAATTGATCAGACAAGTAAATATGTGATCAGATTTTTCAAAATGTATTGCGTAAATACACCACATTTTCAGATAATCTACGTCTTTTAATAACACTGTTGAAATTTAGTAAAGGGACTAATTGTTTTAAATGACTCATGAGTATACATTTACTGGGACATGATTGTATGTGTGTATTCATCAAGGATCAAATAATCATTCTGTCACAATGACTTATATTCAAATGGGTTGAGAATCATGTGAATACTATAACGAAATAAAGAATAACAAGTGTTACGTGACAGTTGAAAATGACTATCGGTAGTGACATGAATAAACAAGGGTATAAAACTAATAGCATAAGAAAATGAATGTTTATCATCAATGTAATGATGACAATATAGGAGAAGTGGGTGGGAGTTTAAACTGTGAAATTTGTGGTAGGAAAGTTCATAAAGAACGTGTCGATCCTATTGTGGGCCAAGGAAGACAAAGTGAAAGTACATATTTCTTTTGAACATATAGGTTTAGTTTGCTTGTGTTGATACCTATGGCTTCTGGTATGGATAATATGCAAGGGACGTAGCATATTACTCAAAAGGCTTGATATGATGTCCGATATCTACTAAATGTGAGAAGACTACACTGTTGATCCTCTTCTCATTCCTTTCCCTAACCAAGCTGGTACATGTTCAAGAGTGCGCATGGATAGAACCTTTTGAGTAGGGGCCCATGTAACTAGCTCCACAGGAGCAGTTGTACTCGTAAATGTACATCATTGATGACCTATCCTTGGTTCTCTGTGTCAGTAATGGTTTGGTTGAGAGGTTGATAAAAATTTTCGCCACACTGAATGTCTTTTCAACTGATCCACTTAATCGACGTGTTGACATATAAGATGGATTGACTTCTCAGCAACATTATCTTTCTTTATCTTTTCTCTAGGTTTCAACGTGTGTTTACTTATGAAGTCTAGAGGATAGCCATTTTACTGTAATGTTATCTTCGGCCTATTCATTTCTTCTTCAACATAGTCATCAAAACGTATATTTCTTATTCTGTAAACCAAGCATTTGACTAGGTTTCTTTTATATTGAATCAGTATGAAGCTATGAAAGTGAATATATTAACCAGTCCATATGTTCTTTCGAAAAATATTCCTCCTAATATATCCATCCGTCCTGGTGAGGATGACATATAGGAAAGAAAAACCAGTCCTTACTCACAGGTGAATTTCATAACTGGATGAATATTATTGAAGGTATTCAAAAGATCTTTTTGAAATTTTTCATATGCGAACTTGAAAGACGCAGTGAACAATCACTAATTATTCCTACTTGTAATATACCCTACGAATACGAAAATAGATTTGATGCTTAATTCTATTTTGTTTCTTGAAAAAGTATGATTACGCGGTAGTAAGAAATTGGTACAAAAAAGATTTGAATGTGAGAAATTCTTGGCATTCCTAGTAAAGCAAACGGTGCCTCGCAAAAAATTGAAAGTTAAAAATAATTGGCACATTTTTATTCACTTGAGTATGTCCTTAGATAATTCAGAAACCTGATTGTGTTTTTGTTGCACCGGTGGTTCCTGTCTGTGTATTATTAGGAATATCGTCAAAAATTTCGATTAGTCGGCTATCTGCCGGTTGACTGTAATGAGCAGAAACATCACTTACGATGGGGTTGCCTTCGGAGTAAGCTGGATTAAAACGGTCGATAGTATATTCACATCCGTTTCGCTAGATTATATAGAATTTTTCGTGCCACTTGATGACTGAATGGTCAATCATAAGGCGGTTCAAACGGTCGACGTACGGCATCGTAGCAAATGAAACGCGTGCTGTCTTATGCAAAATGGGGTGGACAAATACATCAGTTGTTTGAGGTCAAACAGGAGTAGGCCTAACTGCACACATTGCGTTTGTAAGCCCAGTTATGTAAGACGTACTGTCAAAAACAGTTGTGAAAGTTGAAAGGGAAACGAACTCATCTGGTTGGCAAAGAGTAGTCCCGTAGAAGAGTTCTGCAGAAGTACATCCGGCATCAGCTTTCAACGCGAAAGCAAAGCTTCGGTTCACTGAGATGTTTTTACAGCTGAAAGCTCCCCTTTCAGCTGCCGGTGGAAACTTTCTACCGTGCTACTTGCTTCGGGATAGTAGGCTGTTGTTTGCAACCAAACACAACCTAGAAGTGAAGTTAAAGCGTGAAGTAATCTTCACTCGAATTGGCGCCCACGGTTGGTTGTTACGTAAGATGGACATCCGAAGTTTGCGATCCCTATTTCGAAGAAACACGGGCCACAGGTTCAGCAGCAATATCTTTAATGGGTAGTGCTTCTGGCCATCTCGTAAAACGATCCACGTGCCAAAGGGCGTGGATGCTTGACGGTGTGCCTTCATCTTAGCAACTCCAATAAAACTGCGAAGGTCAGCATCAGTACTGAATCTCGTTAAACTCTAGGCTATTCTTTCTGGGGAGCTATGTGACGTTACAATCTTCTTTATTGTCGCCATTCGTACAAATGATGAACGTGTCATCTATGTGCCGGCAATAATAGTCTAATTGAATTTGAGGGGTTTGAGGGGACTTAGAGATATTTCAAGTTGGTATTCATCGCAGACTGACATCAGTTGGAGGAACAATGAAAACCTGGGAGCACTGAACAGCCGTTTAGTATGGGACTCCTCAGCAGTGTGCACCCACGACCTTCAGGTCCCGTGGCCGGTGATATGCTACGTCCCTTGCATATTATCCATACCAGAAGCCATAGGTATCAACACAAGAAAACTAAACCTATATGTTCAAAAGAAATATGTACTTTCACTTTGTCTTCCTTGGCCCACAATAGGATCGACACGTTCTTTATGAACTTTCCTACCACAAATTTCACAGTTTAAACTCCACCCACTTCTCCTATATTGTCATCATTACATTGATGATAAACATTCATTTTCTTATGCTATTAGTTTTATACCCTTGTTTATTCATGTCACTACCGATAGTCATTTTCAACTGTCACGTAACACTTGTTATTCTTTATTTCGTTATAGTATTCACATGATTCTCAACCCATTTGAATATAAGTCATTGTGACAGAATGATTATTTGATCCTTGATGAATACACACATACAATCATGTCCCAGTAAATGTATGCAAATGAATCGTTACCATTAGATTTCATCTTATTTCGTAATTGTTCCGTCTATATTGATAACATTGTAGAGTTAACAGACTAGAATGATTTCTATTCCACTACTACATTTGATTCGGTCTCTGTTTACTCACAACACGGACTGTTTCAATATGGTAATAATCTTACATAACGCCTTATTTTGGATATTGTATTTCACATTATCTCATGGATTTATAACTGTAGAGCCCGAAGTTACTGAGAACAATTCGCTCAAATTATTCTTTTTCTAAATAATCTATGGAGATTTTCAAACTATTAAAAACACGTCTGGCAGATAATTTCAGTGGAGACATCATTAATACTATTATGTTGTTACAAAGTGGAAAATTATTCACAAAAACTGTATTTGCTTGGTATCAGTCTACGAAAATTAAAAAAAAACGATAGCATAGAAAAAGAAATTGTTGTTGATTTCCTGTCATAAACTACTGATAATAACAAAAACACTAAGTGATCTTCAGGATTAGTAGGTTTACTCAATACAGGCGCAGGGATAAGGAAATCTTAAAATAAAAAAGAAATTACAAGAAATATTTGCATTTACGTAATGTAATCAAATGATAATTGGAAAACGATAAAGGCTAACAGATAGAGAGAACAGGTAGACGGATTTTCGCCATAATTTTCAAATAATAAATATACAAAGGCAATGTAAATTACATAACTTGCCAATTATTATTTAATTATCTCGATTTAAGTTAAACAGTAGTCGTATTATCAAGTGAATAAGCATCGATTCGTTCGCGTATCTCATCCAGCGTATAGTCTTTCAAGAGAACACCATTTTTAAAGACTGGAATAAGTATATCCTGTGTTGCATACAAAAAAAACCAGAGAATTTCAATATGAATTATGAGGATAGAGCAAAACAAATGAAAAAAAACTCCAATATTGTCATTCAATGCTGATGCAGCGGATGAGGCTTTAAAATAAGGACTAGTGAAAGCTGTCTGAAAAAACATTCTATGCAGCCATTCTGAGAATCATCCATACTAAAGCCACAACACTGAACACATGTACGAAGGATAAATTTTTGTTTCTGGCCACTTTTACATGCATATGTCGCCTAGCCTTCTCCAATACAGCCAGGTATATAGACCACAGACAGAGACATTGTACATTGTCGAAGCTCTTCATCTTCATTCTACCTAGGCTTAAGATAGGTAAATGCAGAGAAGAGGTTGGGCAATTCTATCCAGTGTAGCAACAGGAAATTATGAGTACCAATAAACAACAACTAATATCTATAGCACAATTGGTAGCCTAGTGGATAACGCTTTGGTGTTTGAAGCGATTAATACTGAGTTTTAGTCTCAGTTGGAATGACATCACTCGCTGGGATACAGGTATATCCAGCCGAAGAGTCCCGAATAGGACGAAACACGCGTTTGGACACCACTGAGGAAACGTTCACTTAACACTGCTGAAGCTCGGGTAATGCAAAATTGAAATCACAGCTATGTGTCTCAGAAACAACTTATCTATTCACTGTCGTTATTGACTTCTTAGACATCCCAGTTCATAACCTTTCCTAGTTTTCACTAGGTTATTACGTGAATCTTTTAATTCAGTAACTCGTTTATCGTTGATTACCTCACTGACAACTGTTTACTAACTTTTTGCGAACCCCTCATTTCTTTATTTCAAATCACAATTACTTATCCAAGTTGCCCAGTGTTTTAACATTTCTTACGCAACTTTCACTAGTATATTACATTCCTGACCACAACCTACTGACAGTTGTTGCTTAACAAAGTGTGTTGACAATTTTTATCAATGAATGGGCATATTACTTATGTGAGATTGTACACCTTTTGGGGAATGATATCACTAAAAATCAATTTGTTCATTTAACAACAACAAAAAAAACCCAAGTTTTTAAGGTGCACCTTAACCACAAGACAAAGATAACAAAAATTAAAAAACCACAGGAAATCAGAATGAATTCGAAAAACCTTAATGTAGTCCTTCTATGCACTGGATGGGAAAAAAGCCTCACAATCTCACCCAAATCCCTCTGCATACACACAGAAGAAACTTAACTTTAAACAGGAAGAGATGTATGATAGATAAATAAAATGGTAAACCACCTGTCATTGTCTTATATGGAACTGTGGCTCATCACCTTCACCTAATGAAGGTTCGGGCAGGCAGGCAATATCATCAGCCCTCAGACGATAGGTGTGGCTGATTTCTTATAGCTAGCACGTGCACAAGGTTGATGAGGGCACATTCTTACGTGTTTTCACCATCGAGAAATATTCAGATAGAAATTAAACTCAGTAATAAGAAGAATACCTTGCTTGTCATATAGACTGAATGTAGCACATTCAATTTCAGAAGTAATTCCAGTGCGCATATTAAGTACAGGTATCATCAAGAGGTATATTTTAATCTCTGTCTACTTGATAGCAACGAATGATGCAAACCACCACAGAACTTAATCAAGAATTTGGATCTGCTAAAGGAAAATGAAATCTAGATTCGCATCTTTCGTTACTTATCGGACAAGTAAAGCACCCTACATATCAAACTAGATAATCATTATCATTTGACTATTAAAAGCCACAGTAATTTCAACAAAAGTGCAATCTACTGTAATATTAGATCACTTAGACTAGTGATCACAGTTCAAAACGTTGACCTCCAAAATTGTGCAACAGTACATGGATATATGAAAGATCTATTAGGCATCTTGTGCACAAACTTGCAATAGGCAATGGGCCAAACTTAACATGAGAGGGCTACTACCTGGCTGTCTAAACTTCAGAAAGTAGAGTTGGGTTCTAACCTATAACACCTTAGTTGGAAATCAAGTATTTTGTCCTCTAAGGTACTGCTCCAAACCTTTACATAACTGACATCACTTAGCGAATGATCAATAGGAATGAGAAGAGTAAACACAAACTGAAAACTCACTCAGATGCTGTTGTTTTTGATTTATACCAAAAGCTGCTACATTTTACTTTGTACTACCAAATTGGGACATTTATTATTTTTATTAGTCCCTTGGGTTCCTAGTGGAACATAGGGCTTCAGTAGCACGTCTCCATTTCATCCTGTTCTCTGAGATCTTTTGAACCTGGTCCCACGACAGCCCACAAGCTCTCATTTCCTCCTCGCACGACCTCCTCCATGTCACCCTCGGCACCGACGTCCAACTCGTCGATTCCCATGGGGATTCCACTCGAGGGCCTGACGCGTGATGTCCTCAGTCGGCCTTCTCAGTGCATGGCCAATCCATCTCCACTTCTTCCTGCATATTTGTTGCGTGATAGGTTCTTGGTTGGTTCGTTCCCAGAGTTCCTTGTTGCGTATTTTTTCTGGCCATCTGATCTTCAGCAGCGAGCGTAAGCAGTTGTTGATGAATGTCTGTAGTTTATTGGAAATGCCTTTCGTGACGCGCCAAGTCTCTGAGCCATACAAGAGCACTGACTTGACGTTGGTGTTGAAAATCCGTATCTTGTTCCGCATGCTGAGTGCAGAAGATCTCCACACTAGTTACGACATTGCATACAATCAATACAACTAAACATTTTCAATTCTCAATTTACGGACCTTTAATTTCCCAAATCATGCAATATGACTTTTTCTAATCAACAGACGATGTAGCTTGAATAACGGAATACGAAAACATATTCGACTCCAAATATCCTGTATAGTCAGTTGCTTTTACTTCGACTGTACTATCTACTGTACTTGATTTTATTATTGAATTAACACAAATTTTGAGATAAAACTAAACGATCTGCTGATCCAGTAAAAAAGATTAATGTTGAATTTCACAAGTACTTTAGTCAGCTGTTGATAAGACATTCGATAAGGATTGTCTATTGATTGGTCAAGTATATTTGATCACTTAAATGAGCAATCTGATCTTCAAGTCTTTTCACTTTCAACCAGAATTGAGTGAACACATAGTTTCGGTTCGATTGTAGAAAAAAAAGCTATACATCTGTTCTGCAGACCAAATAAAGGGTTTCAAGACTGTGAGTACAGTGATAAACTATGACTTTAATAAATGAGTTCTACTTATAGCTAGCTTATGAGTATCACCGACTGTTGTACAGTTTTTTCAAATGGTCATTTCAGTTGGCAATAGTTATCTACATACCAAAGTTTTGAAATCAAATACCATGATTACTTGCCAAACAATTCGCTCACTTTTAATATCTACTATCTACATTATTTTTTCAAGGATATTTATCCTGACATAACATCTAACTACAAAGAGAAAACTTATACTGTACTGGGAAACAGTTCGTCACTCCACAGTGAGATATTTGTTATCCACTGGAGTTGCCCCGAATTAACTGCAACATATTTCATTTACTGAAAGCTGCTTACATACATAACATGAAATCACTGTAACTATACTACTCGACAAACCTTCAGAAACCTTGACGATGCAATTATCTTGCTAAGAAAAAACTGGAGAACAAACGTCCATGAAATTCTGTACAGATATCCTGGATTAAGATATACTGTTTTCCCAATATTCAAAGGTATAACACGTGGATGTGAACTTTCAACTATTGATTCTTTAGTCATAGGTTAAAATTCTGCTACCAGCATAGATAAATAATTCAAAAAACTTAAAAATTACCTTAGATTCAGAACCACAACCTTCTTCTATAGTTATCAGTGTTCCTGTATCTGGGCATCGCTGCAAAGTTAGACGACCTTTCTTTGAGTTCTTCTGTGGATCTGTAATTGGATGCTTAGAAACCTGAATCTACAATCAAACAGATAAGCTAGACCATTAGATATATACACCTACCTCATGACCATTCACAACAGCGAAGCTACACTTGAAAGCGCATTTCTGTGTATCTCGATTTAATCTTTGTAACAACGCTCCACCACTACCGAAGCTAACGTTTTCTGTGCTCCATCCAGATGTTTTAACACGATTTAGAATTGGATCTAGTCGAAGTGTATAAAGATCATAGAAGGAATAAAAGCGGTTCAATAAAATATGAGTAAACTACATGTGGGAAATTTGAGTACAACGATTACTTTATTTATTATTTTGACTATATGAGATAGCCATGTTTTGGCAGATTTGCATTGATACTGGGTGACGATTGAAGGTAAAATGAAAATTTGGATAGCCTCAGGACTCAAACCAGCGACCGTCGGATTTTCTGCCCGGTGCTCTACCGACTGAGGTACAAGACCCAATTCCTGACCAGATTTTTAGTTTACTTAAATCACTAAGGGTCTTGCCCGACTGCCATGGGAACTTGTGACGCATTACTATCATCTGGTCGCATTAATAGTGCCTCATTGAAAAACAAAACGAAACATAAGATGCAGATTCTTCTGGACACTGAGTGGCAATTTAAGAAGGTTTGGGATGCGCTTCTCGCCACCCAAATGCAAATTATGGCTCCAGAACTGCTCATCAGCTGTGCCTCGGGTAACAACGGAGAGTGCAGTGGTTGAGTGCAGCGAACACTCCACTTACCTAAGAAGTCGGATAAGCCCTGGTGCACTGGTCAAATGGCCGAAGAAATCTCTGCACGGATATGAAAAGCTCAATCGGCTTTTGCCAACTTACGCCATCTGTGGCGCCGCCGCGATATCCGATTATCTATTAAGGGTCGGTGTACTGTGCTGCAGTCCGTTCTATTCTACTGTGTGGCTGTGAAACATGGCCGTTAAGGACAGAAACATGAGAAGGCCTCAGGTATTTGACCCCTATAGTTTTCGAAGCACAGACCGTGTTTCATGGTGTCACCGTGCGAGTAACGCAGAAGTCAGGTGAGGAGTTTCAGGGAGAAGAGGTAAGTCAGGTGATGCGGTTATGAACCCTCATCGACTGAGATGACTGACTGGGACATGCATTACGTATCCCTAACCATCGTCTGCCTTGTCGTACAATGTTGACCGAAATAGGTTCAGGCTGGAAAAACGCTCGGGGTAGCCAAACTTACACATGCATGAAGTCCTTGACTGTTGGGTTGAGCCAAGCAGGGTGATGCAGACTAGCCGGTTGGGGTCTGTGGGACAAGAGAAACGAACGGTTGGAGACTCTACGTGATATGGCTCAGAACCCATGTCAGTGGCGCAGGTGCATACATAAATTATCCTCATCTTAACTCCCATACTTGATCTTATCACCTCATTTTTCCTTTCTTTTTTACTACTTTCTGCTACCACTACTACTTCCTTTGACCAATTTTTCTTTCCTTCTTCATCTCCCATTTTATTTCTTTGTTACTTAATGTGGTGAAATGAGATGTGGCGACTTGGACCGTTACTTAGTAATGCACGGTCCTATGTTGATCTTGATGATGACAACACTTGTTATTGCTATCATCTTTAGCCCAAATGTACATGAAATTCGTATTACAATCATTTTACATAAGACTGATGTATTTGTTAGTGATACTACACATCCATTGGTGACAGTTCGATCACCAATGAAAATAATATGTATCACTGGATATCTATTTCTGTCTATCAGTATGGTTAACCCAAATAGTTATAATTGCCCATTGAAATATTCACCTCTGTTAATATCTGTAATCGGCTGTAATATCGTATGTTGCAGAAGTTTATTACTTTCAAACAGTGGGTTATGAGTTTGAACCTCTCTCCATCTGTATTAAAGACTTGGTGGTCGTCACTTACTGCTTACTGCACGAACGTACACTTAGTTGCCGAGTTAAATTTCTACTTCAGAGATACTACTCAAACCACTTCAAATTAACTACAGCTAGGAGTTCACTTTAGTCTGAATAACTTAATGGCAAAGCACTGAAACATGCAAGTTATAATCCAAAACATTTTAGATAAATATTGATGATAAGTACTAATAAGCGCAAAAATTGTTTCCTCCAGAGATTCCCTTTGAATAACTGCAATTAACACCAACTGAAAGTAAAACACACCGTTAGATGGCTTAGATAACAGAGTTATTTAATAACTTAACTAAGAGGCTTCTATTGGAACTCAGAGACTCAGAACTATTGTAGTCACCATCTGGAAACCAATTCACGAATACAAATTCTGGAACATTCATACATTGTTGTCTTAAGACATAAAGGTCTCAGGTTGACAATGTACACTTCTAAACTAGTTGTTCAATAGTATCAATCCTAGTTCGCTCACCAACATAGTTCAGAACTTTAAAATATGACTATGAATAATCTTACCTAATGACTCTAATGATACACCATCTCCTTGTATAACTCTTATACACGATGGTAACACTTTATAACCTTTTGAGTTAACTGTATAACCAAATTTTGCGCCCAGTAAGTCTAATACTTTTGACATAACGTCAACTGGATCTCCAGAATCTGGTCGAATGACAACTGTACCATGGCGATTTAATACCTAAATTTAGAAAAAGCGATGATCAAGACGATTATTTTAGACGTAATAAATGAATATAAGTGATTGACTCTCAAAATCTTAATCCACTCAATAAAACAGTGACATGGAGCTGAATTATCAAAACAATTGAAGGTGTGTACTAATAAACAGCTATAAACTATGGATGATGGTACACACTAAAAGCTCTGAGTGCGAATGCTTAGGTTAAGGGAAGGTACACTCATATCGATGTCAAGTGTGACAGATCAATATGGAACTTGGCAAGAAAAAGTGCACCAGCTCAAATTGCTACACTTGTCAAAAAGGGGAGAAGAAAAAGTAGTTGGAAAAATAATGAAATATGCGCTAACAAAAATGTATGATAATGTTGAGTTTAAAGAGGTGAAGGTTTATGAAAATACTCTAAACTTTATAGATGAAAGTGTATACATCTGCATCAGGTAATCTCCAACCAGCGACTCTTCTAATCTCAAAGATCCCAGCCCGACAGCCTACATCAGTCTGCATGACTTCGACCAACAGTCAAACATTTCATTAATTGGCATCACGTTTTCACTTAATTCCAACCTAATCCTTTTCGATTAAAATCACGCGTTGAAGCAGACAGTAAATCGACATGTGTAACACCTCCGCTCAAGATATTTAAGTTGGCGCAGGTTCACAACTTCATCGAATGATCTACCGTACTTGCTTAGTAATAGTGGCAAACCTCGATATGATGAATCCACCATAAGTGAGAACAGTTGCAAAGACAATTGTGGTCAAAAACCTGTGATCTCTTCACATCTATTTTATCTATGCGGCCGTATCTCATAGGGATGTAATCGAACACAATACAACCAAGACTATCTACCTGAGCTATAAATACTTTCCATCATTTCAATATGCCCAAATGTCTGGTGAGGCAACTACATTTAAACAGTCCGATTAACACAAGAAGCAGACAGATTTCATCGCTTATAAGTAAGTATATTGTAGAAATAGGTCATAGAATTGACTCCACAACAATCTTTAGATCATTATACAAGAGCTGTTGAGTTCGCAAACTTGGATTCATTGAAGCCTCCGCTATTTTACTATTGTTATTATTTGTCCCTTGGGTTCCTATCGAAACATAGGGCTTCAACAGCACGTTGCCATTTCACTCTCTTCTCTCCAGTCTGGCTCAACCTGGCTCCACCAATGCCCACAAGCTTTCATTTCTTCCTAACACCATCTCCGCTGTGTCACCCTCGCCTCGGACGCCGAACTCGTCACTTACCATTTGACTTCCACTCGACGGCCTGAAATGACGCGTGATATCCTGAATGGTCTTCTCAGTGTATGTCCAATCCAATCCATCTCCACTTTCTTCTCCTGCATATTTGTTAGGCGATAGGTTCGTTGCCAAACCAGAGGGTCTCTGTTACTTATTCTTTCTGGCCATCTGATCTTCAGTATCGAGCGTAGGCGGTGTTATTTATCTTCGTCGCCAACGGTTATATATTCCGAACGAATATAATACGTACGCTTAACTGATCGCTAACTTTGTATGCAAGAGCCACTGACTGTAACTCCAGGACGAATAGAGAGAAGACCGAAGCTGATGATAGGGGAGTTTATTTCTCCGAGAGTATAATAATAAATCAATCCCAAAACACGGGAATATGTACACACATAAAAAATGACCTCGTCCGCAATTTGAGACATGGGCATAGTAAGAGTAAAAGTAACCAACCAGCGAATTACATTACAATGGGGACAGAAAATAAACTACTAGTTATACCGTAGAAAATGATGTGGGAATGACAAGCTAAAATGTTCAGATCAATAACAATGTTTTATACAAAACTGGGGCCTCACAACACCTCCCTTTTAGGGAAAAAAATGAAAAAACATTTAATACCTTAGCTTTCTGGGATCCAGTTGGAAACGAACTGTTTGAGACCCTTCCGATCAGTACATCTTCTGAGTAGAGGCTCCTTGTTGAGTTTGAATTCGACGAGGAATTCCATCTGGTCCTGCTGCTTCCCCATATTTCAGCAACTTTATGGCGTTCAGCACTTCACTTCTGTTTTTGTTGGAGGGCTTGTGCTCACTGACACTTCTGTGGTTGGGATGCTGGTGGTATTTCTGGACGAGATCCAGGTGGTGGTGGTGGTGGTCGATTCAAGACTTATTTGAAGTGGTCAGCCCATCGTTTCCTTTGTTTCTCATCTTTGGTAACTAAGTTTCCTCCACTAGCTTTTATTTGTTTCATCTGCGTTGATCTCTCCCCTTTCAGATAGTAACCTGGTTATTTGATATGATGTTGTCAGGTCTCTGTCTCTCCTACTAGCAGCTTGTTATGCTTCACTTGCCAGTGTCATAGAAGTGTCTTTCATTTTTCGGCGCACTCTCCTTCACTTCCTTGTCCAGTGTTTTAATAGGTGGTACTCTGTTCTTTTCGTTGTTCATCCCCGTACGGCACTGGTTCATCTTCTGCTTCACCATCTTCCTCTCCCTCATTTATCAGCTTCTATGTATCCGTCGAGATCCATTCCTTGTCTTGTTTCTTCTTCCTTTCTAACACGGTTATGCAGGTTTATTTCTACATCGCTTTCAGAAAGTTCCAGTGTTCTTCTATGCAGGTTCCTCCAAGGATGGTGCTTAATGTCTCCCATTCTACCGGATGACTGACTGACATGAAGATGTCCTTTGTAGTTTCATCCTTCATTTTCTGTTCTGGGTGTTCATCTTCAACTGTGGTCCCTCATCGCCAACTCCCATGAAGGATTTCAACCTGGTTTTGACTGTAGGTTCCTAGCACTAGATGGTGAGTGGTGTGAACCTACATCTGCTCCGCTTCTTCATCTGATCTTGTATCCAGTAGGCTGACTGTGTCTCACTTTCTTCACATTGAGATGAAGTCGATCTGATTCTTAGTGTGTCCTGGTCCCTGGTGGAATCAAATCCACATCGCTGCCTTGTCAGTATTTTTATGTTTGTACACACTACCTCCAATCACAAGGTTGCTGAATGCGCAGACGTCTACAAACAGTTCTCCATTCTCATTCATCATTTCACCGAGTGCCTCTCAACCCATTATGGATGAGTTTTCTTCCTGTGTTGTCCACTTCCAGTTTGGCATTCATGTCACCCCACCCATTAGAATGGATTTTGATGTCGCCATCTGGTTGCAGTTGTCTGTGGAATTCCTCCTTCTTATCTTGATCTTCATCATTTGTAAGTGCATAGCGTAGCATTGTATGATTGTGACTCTCCTTCCTTTTGAGTTGAACCTTGCTATCATGATCCTGCAGGAGGAGATTGGTTCCCACTGAGTGCGAGAGAGCCTTCGATGATCTTGGCGACATCATGACAGCCATTCCCTCAGTATGGTTATGGTCGTCGTCTGGGTGACAATATTGGAGTAGATCATTAACTCTCCAGTTAACAGTTTGGAGAGTTCATTTCCATTCTGTCTGTAGGTTCCTAGCACTTCTACACCATATTTTCTCATCTCATCTCTTTTGCAATCTGGACAGCCTTGCCAACCAGCTTCAAATATTGTTCGGACATTCCATATCCCAATTTTTATTTTTGCTTTAATCGACAGAATACAAATCGGTCAATTGGCTTCCCGAAGGCTTTCACCAACTGGGGTCATTTCGTCTCCCCGATCCCAGTGAGGAATAAGTTATTTTTATTTTCTCTGTGCTTTGAAGTTTCTTTAGCGGTTAAATTGGTTTTACGGGGTAGGGTTGCTAGCACTATGCCAAACCTTACCTCTTTATCCGCACTTAGGACCGGCTAGTAACTAGTGAACTAGGCGAGGCGTGAAGCGTTAGCTATTCGTAAATCCAAACCATATTCCAAAAAGAATTGTATCAACCTCAAACCTCCTCTGGTAATTTTAGTGTATTTGAATATCACGGTTGGTATGAAAATCTATTATTTCTTCTTATCATCCTTTTATTTTACAAGTCTTACTACCCTTATTTATCTGTAGTAAGCCACTTTATTTTCATCTTTCAGATGAAAATGCTTTTGACAAGAGAATGCATGATCAGATTGTTTGAAATTTCTTAGGTAAAAACCATATTTCTCAAGAAAAAAAAGCCGTCTTCTTATTACGTTGTGCATATAAATATATAGGTTGGTATATGGTACACATTGCATAATTATTACGTTAGTGTATTCTCTTCCGTGATATAAATTTATAAGGCATATAAAGGTTAGTTGACGCGAAATTATTAATTAGTTTAGCATAAATACTAATTGTTAACAAGCATAAAATATTTATATTAATTAGGTAAACTAAACTTTAAATGTTCGACTGTCTATTGACAGTTAAGTGTACCACACAGCAGTCATCTCTCTTTACTGTATGGCTATGGAATATGAAAATTAAGAATGCAGGGTATCACAAAACTTCAGATATCCTAGCGTTATCGTCTTCATAGGCCCTGTTTATACTGTTACGCAATATTAACTGGAGTAGGTTTATCCTAGAAAACGTTTACAGGGTTCAGACTGAAATGGGACATTTGCTTATGAAGTCTCTGATTGTTGGTCACGGAAATGTAAACTGTTTCGGCTAGGGTCTGCATGACAACTGGAAATGATAGCTGGAGACTCCAGATGATATGGCTCAGAACTTATATCCATTTGTATCTATTTTTCGTCTTAATATTGATCGCATTTCGTTATTTTTTTACCCACCTATCCCTTCTTTTTTGCTAATGACTTTCTACAAACTTTGTTTGAATTTTGTTGTCTTGTAAACCAATGTACTACTGTGAGCTGCAGCAGCTTTAACCGTTAAGCAGTATTGTTGGATCCCATGTTGACAATGAGTGACTGGCTGAGAACTTTAACTACGACAGGACTTCCAATCATTCAGTGTATCCAGTTGCAGATAGCATCAACGATACGTCAACAACATAACAATCATAAACAAGCGCCATGTAGCTAGAATTCAAAAATCAAGAAAACCTTGTGATTCGCAGGTTGCAAGACTTCATATACTGAAACAGTTAAGATGCAAGCTGTGTGATGTTGAATGCAATAGATGAAGAAAGGGAGAGGAAATAAGGAGGGATCTAAACGATAAAACAATAATGCTGTATAATAGTACAAGTACCGGTTTGAAAATTGATCAAAGTTGATGAGAAACTGAGATCCTTTAGATGTAGAAGACCGGTATCCTGACACTAGATGTGTACCTTGTGGATATGTGGAACATTATCCTAAGTACTAACCTTTCAAACATTGCAAAAAGGGACCGAACCTCTCTCTACTTCGGTCAGGGAAACCGAGTAGTATTATAAGCTTTTACAAATAATGCATGACTGACAGCCTAGTACATATATCTGTATCTTATTCTAAAGCTTGGCATGTTGTTCTGAGGTTGCACAACCCAACGCTTTACTTAAATACAACGTCAACTTGAAAAAAAACACATTAAAAATCCACACCTATGCCTTGAGAGGAACATAAACCGAGAGAAACAACATTTCTTTCTTTCCAATTACTTCTTCATGGAAGTTCTATACTACTATACAGGTTTTTCAATCGATCTTAATGTGCCAAATTAATTATGGTGGTATAGTTGGCTGTATTCATGACTATAAAGTTACTTATGAAGTTAATAATCCGAAGAAACAGCATACCGTATAATGAATTGGATAACTTTTCAGAGTTCAACAATAAGAAATACAATCAGAGAAGTTGTTAGACGACAAACTGTACAAAAATTGACAATATAAGCTAAATGTTTTATCAGGTAGCTATCTGCTAACAATGATTACTTAAGAAGTGGAGGAAATAAAACAAATAAGGAGACGAAAATAATGAATCAGACTGAGGAAGGGTCGTCCATAAATATTGCAATTTCATTGAGAACAGACTAAGATGAGAAGTCGGATCAAAGTGGCGGTCAAAGCTTACCACATGTTACCGACGAACACAGAGGTTTAATTTACAAAAACATATGGTATTGTCTTTCGTTGTGTACAATAAACCGTCCAGAAGATTAGATGTTATGTCCCCAATAAATGTGCACATATCAAATTCCTTTTCAACTTTATATCTTTCGATCAATCATGACGGATGGAAATTTTCCGACAGGGATGTGTAACTTTTAACCCTATCCAACTAGCTCCCCATGAGTAGTCACGTGTATACAAAAGAAACAGAATGAAAGAATATGTCTTGTGAAATGTATAATATTTGAAGCTCAAGTGGATGATTTAGATGGGTTGCATTTTCTGAGCTATTCAGGAAACTTTCTAGACAACATTGTGATTATGTTGTTGATGGTACAGCTTTCAATGGCATGCTTGTCATTAGTTTTATTACAAATCCAAAGGAAAGCTTATCACCAACACTCTCAACTAGGAGCAAATAACTATCAGAAAAGCTACCCTAAATCCCTACCACACTAAGAGTTCAACAATATCAACAGAGTGTTTATATTTACTCAGTTAAACACAATTTTTAATGATTTCAATTCCAGAAGAATTTAAACCCTATTCCAAGTATACCCAATAACAATTATATCAAACTACAACGGAAGACAATGAATCTATGCAAAACATTCAACCTTCGTAAAAAATATCTTACAACATTCAGGATATACGACAATAATTCCTCATCAAGACTTTTCATCATATGCTTAGAAGAAATCATTCCAGAATCTAACCTTTAGCAATAAACAAACATGAAATTAGATACACTAATGAACATAATGTTGATTTTTCGAGTTGGTATTCATCATGAACTGACATCAGTTAGAAGAGCAATGGAAACCTAGGAGTACTGGAAAGCTGCCTCATCCTAGTATGGGACTCCTTAGCAATGGACACCCACGACACCACCCCACCGGGAATCGAACCCAGGACCTTCAGGTTCCATGGCCAGCATGTTGCCATCGAGCCATCGGGTTGGAATCCAGTGATTCATATTTCCAAATTCTGTCAGTTCACGACATATCACAACCATCACCCAATGTCATCGTTGAATATTTTTCCTTATGGCACCAGGTTTGTCCCAATAAATCCCCACAAACTCTCAAATTCAATAATATTGATTACCATAAAGTGCTACTCAAGCATAGCTAGCCTACCAGTTAGCTAAAAATAATCTCACACTGAACAAAACGCTTATAAACAATAGTAAATGAGAAGTGCAAACAAATATTAATACAGTTTGTGATTAACAGATGATGATAATACTGACAATAACAATTATTCAATGACCATGGGCCATATGGTCATTACTTAACATGTAAACATTAAACTTATACTATCGATATAGAAAAGCATGGGGTGAATAAAAGTGTTTCTTGGTCATGAGTGCATATACACTGCAGTTTATGCTATTAAATGTAACTTTAAAATTATCGTTAGGTTTATTATAACAGTATATTGCATTACAAGTTAGCCATTTTAATCTTAATTAAAGGGATATAGAGTTTGATTGTATGCAAATCATTTAGCTTCAAAAGTTGAGTGGTTTAATGATTTGCTTCGCATAATACGTATGCTTTGCAAACTATCTAGCAATATGATGCTGAGTTGCAAGTCATTGGTTTGTGTACTGACTTCTTGAGTAATGAATCAAGGAATTCGAACGATGTATCATCTACTTTAGGCAAGACAACTGGATAGTATCAAAGACCACCAGATATTATGTTTGGCTGAAAGCATGGTAAGTAAACCTAAATAGAGCTACTGAGATGCATCATTTATTGGAGCAATAATAAACATTCATTGTGGTAAACTGTAAGTTTGTGTTCATTGTACTTCACCTTGTGCATATTCGTGCAGTAGGCGATGAGCCACACCTATTCTATGAGGGCTAGTGGTAATACCTGGATACCTAAACCTCGGTAGGCAGAGCGGGTCTCAAACTTGTAACGCATTGTTTGGAAGTCATCTCCCAATGAATGTTGCCTCTTCCAATTAAACCTCAAAGTAGTACATATCCTTTCGAATGTTTAAGGGTTCTAAAGGGCTATAATAAACTTCAGTCGTTTGAGGGTACTGAAATGACCGACCTGTTTCGATATATGAGTGCATTATATGGACGTCTGTATTCATTTGATTTGATCAACACAGTATTCCTAGTGTACGCAGTTTTGAGTTGCTTTTTTCTGCACTGAATTAATCAACAAAACTCTAAATTATGAAAGCATTCACCGCTCTTATATGATACAAGCAGCTGCAGCTTTTATCAGCCTTATCTAATGTGTTTAAAGAATAAAAGTACGCCATTCTCACTGAGCATCGAACTCGGTAATAATGCGATCAAACTATGACACTTATGATACTACCCACCTTCTTAAACTTGAATAGATGCAACAGAGTTCAGACCGTGATCCATTGGCTGAAAGCCCGAATGAAAGAAAACAAGACCGAAAAGGATACACTAGAATCACTATGGTGTAGTGACACAAGAATGTTTTCCGGATAATTAGAACTATTTTAAGCACTGTTGTGTCCATGATAAAAACGTCAACCAATACATTACCTACACGAATTCTAGATTGCTTTCATCTATCTGTTTATGAATTCACACGAACTTGAAAGTACAGTGTAATACCTGACAGTCATTGTTGTATTAAATGCGAAGTACCAGAGACCACAAAAACTATCACTGATGGCGTTAATCAAAATGCAATTTAAGTAACAACCGTGTATTTTAAACTTGCTACGATTAACTTCCAGCATATAAAACTACAAAATCTGTGTTAACATGAGATAAAAAAGGAATTCGAGATATTAATGATAGATAGTGGCTAGCAGTGGAATCCAGCACACGTATTTCGTCCTATTTGGGACTCATCAGCTGGATGTACTTCCACCCTAGTGAGTGATGTTGTTCCCACTGAGAATGGAACCTGGGACCAATCGCTTCAAACGCCAAAGCGTTAGTTCGGTCCAATCAACAATCGGATAATACAAGTAACGACGTAAAAATTATACCCCTTGCGCAAAACATGGCTATTGTGACTCGATGGCCTAGTGAATGCTTTGGTGTTTGAAGTGATCGGTTCTGGGGAACAACATCAATCACTGGGGTGCAGATACATCCAGCTGACGAGTTCCGGATTCCACTGCTAGCCACTCACTATCCATTATTACTATATAATTAAAAGCAGGCAATACCAAGGCTTCCTTTGCAGGAGCCCATACGCTAATAGAGACTGATCAATTCGGTCCACTCAAAGACGGCATAATACAAGGAATAACACTAAAAACGTAAACTGTTCATACATATGACCTACCTTGTCTCGTAATGTTTCACCCCAAATCTTACTGCACGCTTTCCAGATATCGTAACTATCTGATACACAGGCAAATGTTCCTGTGGGATATAAATCGAATAAATTTGAATAGGCGTTGGTCTCATTCTCCTCACCCCATACAGTCATTGCACTAAAAATTAAAAGTGAAAAAAATAAGCATGAAGTTATGATATTACTAAGAATATCGAAAACATTTGACAAGAGAATAATTAGTATTAGCGGTAGGCCAATCATCCGAATTTTGCATATATGAATACCACTGGGAGTTCGGTTTTCTTGCAATTTTAATTACTACTGAATAGTTTGACAGTAACTTACCACAAGGTGTATTTTTATAGAGTCAATGGAAATTAACACTTCCTTTGGAATTTTACCTTGCATCGTTGTTCATACAAATCAAGAGGTGTACTAAGCAGCAGATATGCCAAATCTGTTGTGTAAGGACTAGTGATTCTATCAAACTCCTAAAAACCTCAGTAGGTGGAGGGTTCAACCCCGTGACCCACTAGTTGAAAGTCAGTTGTGTAATTTAATGTGGCACAGCTGTACAGTAAGTCGCCAAGCTAATTTTTAATCACATAGGGAGACTATAGCAGAATAACGATCGTTCCCAATTTGAAGCCTTTTGATATTATTGATATTAGACTTCTTGGAATTCACTCGGCATATCATGAGGCACCCACAGATGTTGAAGAGGAGATTCTTCTAAACTATGATACAGATTTTATACCAGTCTACAACACAAAACATCATTAAGAAGAGATTTCAATGAGCATTCACAAACTGTAACCTTAGTCAACGTCATCACTGAATATTTTAGCCTATATACTTTTCTAATTATCTCGCTTCGTAATTCCATTTTAATCTATTTACTAGAAATGTCACACAGTGAAACAGTATCATTTACTGGACAACAACGTTTCGGACACAATTTATTGTCCATATTCATATCACGTGACTCCATAACCTCGAGACACGGTTTATATATTCCTAATTTTCTCTCCTTCTCTGCGATAACAAGGGTAGTAGAATTTTCCATATATCTGAGACAGGTGCAGAATCATTTCGAATGCATGTATTTGGGGTTGATTCGATAAACAAAGGCTCGGCTATCAGTCTCTTCCTCCACCCAACTAGGTTAGTTTACGACATTGTCACCCTATCCCACCTTACTGTGTGTAATTGCGTGCAGAGCTATAGCTCAGCTTTTCCCTAAATTTCTTATCTTATTAGGATCTACTAGTCTTGATTTAGCTACGCTTTTGTGCTCTGTTATTCTAATCAACGCAGGTCGACTACTTTAACCTATGTATTTGACCTCGCAATCACTGCAAAGGAAGGGATTCGGTAAACCGGATTATTTTGCTGAATTGCATCGATAGGGTCTTTTAACAGACTAAAATGGAATTACAATCGACCACTGTGCCCAAGTTTTACTCCTATATCTCGCTTCATCTACTAGTCACAATATCACCACCTTTTGACCCAGTTAGGGACGACCTATTCGATATTCCAGCTCTGAAATACAGACTTTACGGGTTCTTGGAGAGGTAAACCCAATGGAAACAATGGGAAAGTACTCTAAGAAAAATTCAAGTGCTTGTACAGAAATGTGACTTAGGATGTATGACCGAAAAAAGGCATAAACGGGAAGTTCAAAGGGAGCAAAAAATTAGAAAAGGTAAGACAAAAAGGTTGCAGTTACGAGAATAACTAATCATCTTATGTATAACTTATCTAAATACACACTAATCGGCAGTCAAAAATCACTCAGTGTAATCGGGTACTAATTGAACTTTATGGAACAATCACTGGATAATGGTTTATGGATGGAGTGACTCGACAGTGTGATGATCTATATCATCAATCAATCAGCCTACTGGCGAAGTGAGTATAGTTTTGTATGGGGTCGTTCAAGCGACCAATTAGACCGTAGGTAACGTGTTTCGCTACAATAATGAATGATAATGGGGTCCGATGAGACACCCGATTACTTGCAGCTAACTAAAAAACCTAGGTTAACAACACCCTGTGAATTATATCCAATCGTGAAGAACACATACCACTCACTTAACAACATTGAGCTGTCCCATTATACCGTCGAGTCAATAAATATTTAATTTCGATTATTTAAGTATACATTTGCCCAAATAAGAAGTAATTAAGGTTTCTACGGTCGTATTGCGCCAACTGTAAAAGTCTATAAGGTTTTCTACGTCTGTTGTAGTGCCTGAAGTCAGAGAAGTTGAGTGTAAACAAGTCACAGTTCATGTGGTGTATCACTAAAATTGTCTACCTTATTATCGAATCATAACCCTAACACTAACACTTAATTTCAATTGGATTAAACACCCCACTAGGTCAGAAAACAGCAAAACGTTAGGATATGGATCCCTTTCTTACTGTCTACCCACCTGCTTCAAATTGGTAATTTCAAGGATGGTACAATTTTCTTATTCAACTATTCATACTTTATGAATCACTGGTTTTTGACGCCTCACGTACATGTCATTTATGACCCCACTAGTAATTGGTTAGAAGACTACGAATTCCTCGTGGTTTTGTTGATAAGCTGTTGTTTTCGGTTGAAACACTAGAAATTAATGACTGCAAACTTGGTTTGGATGTGTACTACACATGCTGAACCACCGCCTACCTCCACTTGCCATGCTAGGGGAAGCTGGATTAAACTAAAAGAGGGTTCAGGGTAGTCAGACCATAATCCGGCACCAGTAGATATAGTCCCCGACTGTTAGTCTGAGCCGTTTGGAAAGATGCAGACTACCTGCCTGGGGTCCCCAAGATTATAGGAATCAGTGGTTGAGGACTCCTGGTAACATGGCTGAAAATCGGTTACAATAGAGCAGATGTATTGAGTCCTTGACATCTACAGCTTGAATATTCACACTTACCTTTATCTTTAGATTGTTTATTCTCTCACACAACTTCGTCTGCTATGATACCATTCGTTTTCTTTCTACCTGCTTTTTGTGTATTACTGTGAAGTGTGGCAACTTGAGCTGACGCACCTGTGTGCAAGGTTCTATGCTGATTTTGTTTGTCTACGAACTTTCAATAGCATGAGCGAACAATGAACAGAACTAAGCAATAATATCCACCGTTTTCACTTACTCTTTAGTCCTAAAGTCCTCATCACTTCTTACCCATTCAGACCTTTTTTACTCACGCTTTTCTTTACGTCAATGACTTTCAGTCACAACTGATTATATTTTTTGTTGATGTTTCTAAGTTTGGCATTTTAAAACTATACTGTTACTTTTATCATCTGTAACACTAAAAGGAGCTTTTTCAAACTGCTATTCCATTCATTCATAAATAAATAATAGCAATGTCATCGAATATGAAGGAAAATATGTGCATTTTGAGATGTCTATGCAGTGACATATTACTTTCTGAAGCGTTACTGATGTTTTTCACTCGGAAAATCTGACTAATTATTCAATATTATAAGAGAATAAGAAGAGTTTTTTAATGTAACAGCCCATTAACATATCATATTACTGTTAAGTGACAATGTATACAAAACAAAGATTCAACGTTCCCTTAAGTTTTTTCCCGATGCCTATAATATAACCACTGAATTTAGATGATTAAAAAATCATTGCATATATCTGGCTATCAGAGTCCATTAGGTGTTGCTCACCTGACAGAGTTGCCACATAAACAATATCAAAGTCATGTGTATAGAAGAATAAGTCAATCTATATGGTTAGAAATTTAAATCTAGTGGTTTCCTGGGAGTTTGCTAGGTACCCTGAAGCCAACTTACCGAGTTGAAGTAAAAACAAATTCAATAAATCCCTTAAAATGATCACAGCAACACAAACGACAAGTCTTTGAGATTAGTAACTAGAAAACAATCCAAGATGTATATTGTAATACATACTACTTCTTCATTGCAAGTTCTGGAAAATATAAGAAACTTTGTATGATATACCTAAAAATCTATCACAACAATGAAAAAATATCCACTCTACATTATCACCTAAATCTATCAGCCTAACTGCCCTATTTATCTGCCTTTTCTGGTTCATTTCAATATTTTTCTTCTCTAGACTTTTTTCTAGGATAATTTTGAAAGCTAAGTCAAAAGATATAAATTGTGAATGATATCCCTTCATGAATAAAATAAAAATGAAAATAAACTTCTACTATTTCGAAAAATTATTTAGATAGTGTTTTTGAATTTCCATTTTTTAAACAGAAATTCGTTCAGGGAGGTAAATTCCCTGAAGACAGGTGGAATAACAACTCGGAAACAAATTACACCAAGCTCTGGATCACAATAACTTCATGAGGACATAACGATACTGCACAGTCGTTCACCTTCAAGATAGTACAGAAACTTTGAAAGCCGTTACAAAATAATTCCCATACAGACATTTAGAAAAAAAGACTGATTGAGCGAAGAAATATATGCCTTTTCAATTAGGTCTTCGTCTTGGGCTCTACACTAATGTATAGGTTTATAATTCAATCGAAACAGGGTTGATAAACAATAATTACAGATTCTAAGTCACGAAGTTTTAGAAATTAAGACGCAAATAATCACTAGAGCTTTTTTTAAATTATTAATATGAAGCAGGTTATTCTTAAGTAACTTGGATAGTAACTTGTAGAATAAATGGAGTACTTTTTTGGCGAGTGTTCCGCCAAAAACAATAAATAATTACGTAGCAATAAGATAAATGAATATATCGGTAGAAATAAGAGGGGGAAGAGGTGTACAAAGTAAAACTAGAGTTGACAGCCACAATAATGAAAGTAGTCGATTAAACTTCTTTTGAGTATAAAGGCTAGGGTTGTAAAGGTGTATTGCAATCGCTTCTGCTATGTGAAGTAAGCGAGTGCGTAATCTGTGTGGTAAATTAATCGGAATGTGATGAATAATTTTGAATACTTATCTAGTATTTACTTGATGTCCAGTGTCAACCAAGTGTGCAACTATGGAGCTCTTTACTGTCCCTAGCTCAACCACGGTGGGTGAGGCTCAGAAATTTGACGATAGACCTGAATCATTGTACGACCAACGTAACTAGCCCCATAGGAGCAGTTGAACTGATAAATGTACATGGAAGTTGTAGAATCAGGCAGTTTGTCTTTATTTCT